TCGGATTGTTTTTAGGACCGTTAAGACTCCTGGTTCCATAATCAGTGTCGTCTTTGTATTTGAGAAACAAGCACCTTCATAGACTACAACATCAACATTTTTGCTGATCAATGCGATTGCACGCCCGTTGCTGAATCAATTGTATACAGGTATGTGTGAAATATAATTCTTGTCGAGTTCAAACCATGGAAAGAAAAGGTGACCACAGCATAGGATTATGTCAATCAAATACACGAGAAACTATCGAACATCAATGTAAATCTTACCCATCTTGAAAATCAGCTCAAACTTTAAGAAATTAAGTATTTCAGACTAATCTAAGAAGGTTTTATTCAAAATATGAGGGACACTCACAACCTATTTCCACACCTTTTCTACCTGTTCATTGAATAATTTGTGCTTGAATGTTGTATTTTGTTAATATTTATTTAATCAAGTTCTGACTCATTTATTTACTGCTGCGATAATCACTGATACATAACTAAGAACAAAAATAATTCAATAACCACTAGTTATATTTAAAAAGTTAATACATCACAATTAACATATTCCTCAATTGTAATTCGAATTAAAAACATCAACTACGTAGGTCCGCATAATGTCGATTCATTTAATTATTCCATTGATGAAAAAATAACTCGATCAGCAACTAATGCATATCCTATCAAGTTTTAAATAGAATAACAGAAAATTTTCACCGAATGCTTTCAAAAACCTGTACAATTGAAAACTGTTCTCGAAGACTAACAATCATGATTAAGATGTATTTTACAAATTTTGACAAATAAAGAAATTATATTTAAGCAACAACATAAATTTTAAATACTATGTAAAATGTTCAGTAGTAAATATTGAATAAATAAAAAGTTAGATTAGTTGATGAAAGAATTTTTTCTTCGCTTCAATAAGTCTAGCCAATTTGAAAGCATAGTGAACGATAACTATCTGTAAAGAAATTGGAATAGAATATCAACAAAAATAAAAGAAATGGAATACTTACTGTAAGAATGAAAATACTAATATTTATCACAAAAGAAGTAATAATAAACACTGAAAAAGAAGCCAAGATGCGTTTGATGACGGTTTTGTCATTAGAGTCGAGAGCAGCTAAGTTGATATCAGTTGAGTTTAAAAGTGAGTTTATATCGATTGAGTTTATAGCATTTAGAGCAACACTTGTAATAAATAAACCAAGGAGAGTAACAATGATAAAACGTACAAGTAGAATGGTGATGATAACAAGTCCAATCACATATAGCCAAGCGAACTAGAAATCGAAAATGAAAAGATCAATTTTAATTCGAATATTTCATTGAGATTTTATTAATCTAACAACTTTTTAGAACTGATTTCAGAAAATAACAAACAACAATGATTGTATTAAAGACCTTGAAATAGATAAAATCGTCAAAAGTCGCTTTTCTAGATTATTTTTGAATTATCCGATGATATTAAAACTCAATAGTTTTATGCATTGTTTTAACACGAAAACCTAATGTAGACTTATGAAATTATCAATTTCTTTGTAGAATTGAATAATGATTTAGTCGCATTCCTCAAGCAGATAAACTGTTAGCGTCAACACATGACGCTATATGTTGCTGTTAGCTAATTTCTTCATTGTCCTTTGGTCATTTTTGTTTTTCCTTTCTGTTACATGTGACTTTCAGCTGTGGTTCTTCTTTTTCTCTCTTTCTACGTATTTTTCATCAGCTTCGTTTGCAATTAGTTATTAATTTTCATTCATGCAAACAACATTATCTTCCTCTCCTTTAGTAATAGTAACAATCACTATTACTATTGTTCCTGTGAACTTGTCTTCCTTTCCCACTCGCCTTTATCTCTATCGTCCTTAACAATAAATGTTGACCTGTCTTTACCATCGTCCTCATTCTTCAAAGAAGTGGCATCGAGATAGGTGATTCTCTTTACATGAGACATCTCTTGTCCTATACAAGCCAGAGGTTCTAAATTATTATCTTTCGACTTGCGTGATAAGTGTGGGCAGAAGTATAGGATAGTAAGACAGAACCTCGCACAAACAAATGAGAAAAACGGTCTTCAAACATCCTGAATCTAAATTGTTCACACACTGTGTGATGTTATGACACATGTGTTAATCACACTTTTAAAACTCGTTTTTTTGAAACATAGCAAGCAGTTTTAACAGTTTGGATTTTTCCGATGTTAACCTGTTTTTACAATCAACGAATATTCTCTGTCAACCATGCAACTTGAAATAGTTCCGCTAACATTTAAAAGATTGAATCAAAAATATGTAAATGTTTGATATCATATTTTCATAAAAAAACATTTCAGAAACGTTGATCGATGATGGATCTAGAATGTTGGTAAGAGGAACAAACAATTTTTTGAAGAGGATGGCCTATGCTACATAGAAAACACTTTTCAAGGCTCATCCAAGATAATATTAAGTCGTTTTTCTTGGAAGAACTCGTAAAAGTTCTTTAAGAAAATGCACGATTGCTCTAATGCTTCTCTCAATCTGCTACCGGTGCTAGTTCATAAGTGTTTCCAAGAGGAAAATGGTCTAGTACAATTTGTACATCTCATTGTTTCTTTTTCAAATTAAAGATCTCTTAATTTTTTACCCATCTCTTTGCATTTTACACATATTTCCATTTAAATAACTATTAAAAAACAATTTCTTCTGCAAAAGACAGCAATCAAAATGGGAAATAGAACTAGATTGAAAATAAGATTTTCCTATACAATTAGATACTTCTATACCATAAAAGAGGGCTGAAGTACTACTGTAACCATATAGTATCGAACCAATATGTATATAACTTTTTTTTTACATAGCCGAAGTTCTAAACTTTGCTTAAAAAATATTAGAAAATGATAAGTAACATTGTTTCGATCAAAATTGATTAGTATAAAGTCATCGAAACAAAAATGAGATCTGTCTTAAAAGCTGGAAAAATCAAGCTGTATTATACTTGTATCAAATATTCTAGTGTAGAGTATGCATTGGAAAAAAAACAAAAGATATTACATACCACGCGCAAACTAGTTGTATTGTATTTATAAACAGCCCAAAGTCCGAGACTGTAGAAAAGAATTGAAACAACTGAAATACCAATCTGTGTACTTCCTTGACCATTTGTTATACTACCACCGATTTCAACAGCCGTATGTATCAAACAAAGAACCTACAAAATTTATGTTTCACGTCAATAAAAACAAATACTTTGAGTATATGATTGCAGGGGGTAACAAAATTATCCAACAAGAAGATAGATTTTTTTTTTGTTTTTCTGATATATCGAAATCTAAATGAAAGAGAATGGTCACACTTTCAAGATATCATCGTCTCAACACTACAATATGTTCATAGAAAATTTCAAGTCAAACAACCGATCTGTTTCGATCTTATTAAGAACACAATCACTGAATATCATTTTTATCCTTCCAAAATTATCCAACAACTTGTTTTTCTGTTTCAGTGTGCATCCACTTTCATACGAGTTTGTCTTTTAAATCATAAATATAGTTGATAATTTCATTTTCATGTTAACATCGAAAAGTAGTTTTTTTGACAATGATGTGAACCACAGAACGTAGTATAAACTTACAAGATAAACACTGAGTATAATCAAGAGAATCTTGCGAGGCCGTTGCACTTCAGGATCTTCACCCAGCGTCAATGGTCTCGTAATTAAAGGATAATTACCACTCATACATATTACTCTTTCGCTGCCTGGTTCATATTGCATTTCGATAATGCGCAGTTACTTAGTCTTTCGAATAGATTCAAGGGAGCACAGAGACACAGTGGCAACGAGCGAGAAAAATAAGGAAATAAAATACCACCGGCGACATTTTGCTTCTTTTTGAAGAACGCAAAACAAAAAAGACAACAAAAATGATGTCCCTTTGGTAATACCCAAAGAATGTCAAGCAAAGGAATGCAAAAAAAAATCATGGAAATTGTGTCATGAAAAGAAGTCTATAGACGGAATATATCATGTTTGACATCAACAGCAAATATTAACGTTTGGCCTGGTACAAACAGACAAATGCTCATTGAGCTTAGATTACTTAATGTAGAGATGGAACATTTTTTTTTGCAACTTTTATTCTGTTGACTGAAGGGAGGGTCATGTGGAAAAAACGCATTTGCTTGCATGTTTGTATGTACGTGTCGAGTCCCATGGCAGTGTTAGCACCCACATCCTTAAAGTTGTCAAAGATCATTGACAATAAGCAACTAATTTGCCATATTTTTTAAATGATCAACATACACAGCATCAATTTATAAAGTAATAACTTCGGAAAGCCATCAATATCATTGTATATGAGTTGATAGAGATATATATTAGTCCATTGATACTTGCTGTAGATATAATATATATGTTGTATTCACAGGCATTTTTGCCACTACAATCACTGATTTAAAAGAGAACAGTTAAATTAAGAAGAAAGGAACATAAAAAAACGAAAAGTACGACACTATCCAAACAAAATAAAATTTCGTTCAAAATAGAGAAATACATAAAACAGATTTTTGTTTAGTCGATTAATTATTTTGAAAAAGAAATATAATAATATGTACCAGCTACTTCACTTTAGACTAGTGGTGTAACCAGGGTAGGGCATGGTTGGGAGTCGCCCAACCACCGATCATTAAAAAAAAAGTAATTTTGTTTAGAACGATAAAAGTAAAAGACTACGAGATATTTGTATTCCCTACTTTTTTTCTTCATTTTAGACTAAACGGATTGGACACATTGCCAATCGTAACTTGTCTCTCGAAATAGAGAGACGCATATAGTGACATTAATGATTGATAGATTATCATTTCACATATGATTTGTTTCCTTACGTATGAATTTTACAAGTGACATACAGCAACACCTTCGTGATTCTCGTAAGAAAAAGATAAAGTTCTTGTTAAATGCAACCCGATGATAAAGAGCCCAAATGTGATACTATTGACTTGTTTTCTGACGCATATTCTTCCAGAAAAACAAAGTTCATATTTCTACTTCGACCGTTGATGAATTCCCGCAAATAACAGAATCAGATGGAACAATCTGTTGTTCAATAGACGAAGTTGCTGAACCTCTATCACCATTTTCATCATCAAGAACAACAACAGCTACAAAAATATCTTTCATTCCTTCAGACGCTAGCTGTTCCTCCAAAGAACCACTACTGTCACCTCTAGGAGATCCTCCTAACATTTCTGGCACTTCTAGAGATGGGTGCATCAGAATAATTCAAAATTTTCAGGACAGATAGAACTCAATAAATAGAGCAAAAGTTGTCGTAGTGCCAACATTTCCGGATTCTTTCTTCTATGACACACTGAGGCCACAAGAGATAAAAATGGTCCTACTTATTGCCTCGCTTTCTCAGCCGTAATATGTCCGATTGAGCTGAAACCTTTTTTTTACATATACTACAAATATTTTGGAGTGCCTATTTTTTTTTCTAGTTTGTCTTCACCTCCTTCTATTCGAATGAAAAAGCCAAAAGACGAAGAGCCAACTAAAAAATACATGTTTTTTTTAAACAGACCTTATTTTATAAGATCTGCTAAAAATCGGAGGATAAGATATTTTTTAAAATAAAAATATAGCCACCCCAAAGTATTTCTAGTATTCGTAAGAAAATGTTTCAGCTTGACTAGGTGTACTATGTCCGAGAAACAGGGGCGATTCTACAAGCTTTTGTGTCAAAACCAGGTTCTGAGAAAGCTCAACAGAACGAAAAAGATTTAGCTGTTTCACATGAAAAACATGCTATTTTTTCGACATTTTTTTAACTTTGGAGCTAAATTTGAATTATTAAAATGCTTTTAACAAATAGAGAACACTTAGAAGTATATATAGAGCAGAAAAAAGTGAAAAGCCAAAAAAAAAATGAAAAATTTTAAGTTCGAAAAGCGGGAAGAATCCTCTTAAATAATCTTTGAAAAATTGTTATTGCGGCGCGCCCAACCACCTATCATTTTCTGATTACGCCACTACTTTAGACATCGCGTATAAATGTAATCAACTTAAAGAAACTATGTGAGTTCCATATTTCAGCATCGATGATGCTACGCTAACGAGGCTTTTTGTTCTCTATCGATTATTTTCTATTTTAAAGTGCATTCAAATTTCCTCGTTGCTGATCTTAAAGTGTTATAGATGACGTTGGCTTTTTTTTTCATATTTTTCTTCAAGCTGGTAACATTTTTCTTACCGATTCTATGACTCTTTCTGTTGATGTTTGCAACATGAGACGTTTTTTCTTTTGCATTCAAAATATTGACTCATAAATCTAAATAATTGAGTAAGTTCTTCAAACAAAGGAGAAACATAAATAGATATATATAAGACTCGGCAGAAAAACAAATTTTCAAAAATTATATTTGTAATCCTAGTGAAAACATTAAAAGAAATTGATGGCAACAGTAGACTGCAGTAGCGATCGTGATCAGGACGACAACACAGATGATAACAATGTATCGGATGAAGATGAATGGTTAAAAAAAACTCAAGATATTGCTGATAAGTGTCCGAAAATACCTCACTATGGTCGTTTCTTTCGTCCAAATGATTTCTTTGAAAAGCGTGCCACATATGGCGATGGCGGTGAACTAATTCTTAAATATCCTATTTGGATGTTTGGTGCCCTATCGAAACATGTCAATGACGTAAGCACTGACGTAAGGGAAGAATTATTAGAAGTATTTCATAAATTAAATGATGAGCGAAAGGATTTTCATAAATATCCACTGCCTGTTGAAGATATTGTTGATCCTGATCTTCTGGTATGTAAACCCATAAAACCATTATCACCACCACCGTCACCACTTCCTACTACCGAAGACAGTGAAGATGAAGACAAGAAAGATTATGACGCTTGTAACAAATGGAATTTTAATTCATTAACCTTACGTGGATCTTATCAATGGATACCAAGTGAATTTCGCATCCGTCATGTTGCCAGTAATAACTACGATGTGCATATTGAAACACCTATTAGTCATCTACCAATGACTGAAGAATATGCGCAAACATACAAAAATTTAGAAAAAGTTTTTTCCAAATTAGTACCAATATTTCGCCGAATACTGTCTATCAATAATCATGATAATGATATCCGACTGCAAGTTATTGTAAAAGTACAAAGTTATAATATTCAGCCGAGTAAGTGTTTTTTACATGAATCTCTGTGTTTAATCAATGATACTCGCTTAAGATTAGAACCGTGTGTACCATTTAGTTTTTTCGGGGAGCAAATATTCATGTAATGGTTTCATTTTCAGTGCTAAAATGTTATTCAACAATGCGGTGTGCACGGAAATGACTGCCCTCGTCTACCATGCAAATGATCTGTTGATCCTTCTGAAAATTCAATAATTTAGTAACAGAAATCTACGGAAAATTAATAAATATAAGAATTGAAAGAGTGTTGACAAATCAGCACATGACCGTTTTCTATTGCAAAAGAATTATCGCACACATGGCTTGATTTAAGTTATACTTCTCACTTCACTGTAGAAAAACCAGTGAGAGAAAGACAGAGAGAGAGAGATTAAATATTTTACTTTTCATCAGAAATGTTCCGGATTGATCTAAATTATACGAAAAATGTTAATCTCTGTCATGCACTATTCTTTATATTGAGGAAACCTATCTAACTGTGGAAACGTTCTGACATATAAACTTGATTGAGTCTCTTGTTGGTTTTCTAGAAAACTCATCTCTGGAGATCTAAGCTTATTGGCAAAACGAAAGATCTTAAGAAAATAATTAGAAATGGTTAAACATGAGCCTCGTAATTCTGAGAGTTGGCGAAGATGCACAGCTCTGTTTTTAATTTACAATATGAGCTAATAAAGAAATGTTTCATGGCACAAAAATAGTACGGGTTGATAGAAATTGATATTCTAGAGGACCATTATTCAAAAACTCAACAGAAATAGAAATCGATTTTATATTCAGAATCAACAACATGACTAATGATCTACAGAAATATGTATTTGGAGAAAAAAGTGATCTGACACTTATTAATATTTTCACGTTGATCATTTAGCGCTTGTGTCATAATCTTTCTTACAATTTCGTTTTCTAAATAAATCAAAAAATGTCATTGATGTTGAACGCTCATTTATACAAAAGGAGTCTGTGTTATACTGACAGAAAGAACAGTTCTGATCAGAAAGTATTATTGTTAATATATCGTTTTAGAATGACGTAGCATTTTATTGCATCAACCATTTTTAAAAGCATATTAATAATAACAAATGTGTAATTCATGAGAGTTTTGTTTTTGTTTTTCTAGGAACAAAATATTCGGGTCGTTGGCATACTGAAGGTTGTACTGAACATATACAGGCAGTTGGTGTTTATTATTTGTATATTGATGATAACTTAGAAGGTGGTGCCTTGAAGTTTCGCCCGGCAATATCACCAAGTAAATATTATGCCGACCATTATTCCATTAAAACCGATCGCTATGTCATGCCAGAAACAGATGCAGCCATTGTATTTGATAATTCTTTGCCACATCGTTTTTGTTCAATTCGTAATTCAACATCAATTGCTCGTCGTCGTACATTTCTTAATTTTTTTGTTGTGTGTCCTAAGTATCCGATCCATGAATTATCAATTTTGAATTTACCATTGGTTAGCTGTGAACAATGTCAGATTATATTGAAAAGTATTATAGATGAGAATCATCGACAGAAACTACCAGATTTAGTTATCGAAAAAATCCTCTCATTTCTGGAGAAGAATATGTGGAAAACAGATACGGATGCAAAAGAATTTCGTTCACATGTAAGACATGAAATGGTGCACGAGAACAGTGGTTGGAGTGGTATTCATTATGGCAATTTTGGTGATATTGTGTTTATTAAATCGGCTAATGATTTGAGGCAAAGAAAAAAGCAACGAGACTACAGAGAAGCTCAGAGCAAATTGATACATACAGAATCGGACTAGGAAGAACATAAAAGTCAATATCGAACTTTTACTACTAAATTTTAGAATTTCTATCATTGGATAATATCTTTTGAAATAAGAATCGATCCTTGAATAAACATCAAACATATTACTAATGATTAACTAGGGTGTGGGTGTGGGTGTGGTTGTGGGGTGTGGGTGTGGGTGTGGGTGTGGGTATGGGTGTGTGGGTGTGGGTGCATTAAAGATAATACTCACACTCATACCCACGCCCACCCACACCCACACCCACACCCACACCCACACCCACACCCACCCACACCCACACCCACACCCACACCCACACCCCACAACCACACCCACACCC